CCATTTAGAACCATTTAGAACCGTTAGTGCCTTACTCTAAATGTTTTTATAATACCAATATTGCCCCACAGGCTCTATGACTAAAAACCAAAACCCATAAATTTAAACCAGAATTGAGAATCCACATTTTTAACCCTACCTGATGAGCTTAATACAAAAAGGCAGCTTATTCTTTAGCTAGAACCATAGTTGTTAAGGCAGCGCCTAGGCAACAAGGTGCCCTTGGAGTCTCTCCTCGCCTAATCGCCAAGTAATTTTCTATAGCATGTTATAACAAACTTTTATATTCTTAATTTTTGAGGTTATAATTATAAAATAGACATTTTTAAACTAAAATGTTCATTTTGTGTGTTTACATACTAATTTCTTTTTGTTAGGATTTAATCAACACAAACATTGCTAAATGTTGTATTGAACACTCCACCACTTCAAAACCTGAACCAATAAGTAAGAAAGAACATAAAATATTGTCAATCAACACATTTCTTCTTTTTCTTTACTAATTTTGTGTTTTTATATACTAATTTCTTCTTCTTCTTCTTCTACCACTTTTTCTTCGCTTCTTTTCCTATAACAGAAATAGGGGTTCAACCCTTGTATTTTTTTAATTTTCTTTTCTTTCTTTTTTTTCTTCTCATGAATATGTTGAAATATGTTGATTTTCTATACTTTAACATGAAGTTTAATACTTTTCTAATGAAAATTATGAATATTTATTAAGGAAATATGATTATGGAACCTAGGGAACTATCTTTGGATACATGTTTTCAGTTAAAAAAAAAAAGTCCATTACCTAGGCGTGCACCTAGGCGACTAGGCCCCCTGTTGCCTAGCCTCGCCTTGGCGCCTTGAAAACTATGACTAGAATCTGGGTATGTTCTCATAAAACCAACCAATGGCTCATACTTCAGCTCCAAAAAAAACTCCACCAAAGCTGAAATCTCAAGCAGAGATTAACACCGACAAAAGTTCTCTTTCTTCATCTAAATTGTAGGGTTAGAGGATGCTTTTGATGTAGGATTTTTCCATCGCCAATTATCGGCCAGTGGAGGTGTTTATAGAGGATGGTTTTGATGTAGGTTCAATCATTCGTTGAGCTCTCCCTTCCTATGGTTCTTTTCTTGAATCTCCCTTTGATTATAGTAATGAACGAGTCCCATTTCATTACAGCGCTACAAATGATCTTCTTGAAGTGCTTCTTAGGTGCTTTTTCATGCTCATCTTCCAGAAACCAGGGCTGCCCTCAGTGATTGATGAGGAATCTTCCTTGGAATTTAGAGGTTTGAGTAATTTTAAATTAGGGATGGTTTTGGGGCAAGTGGGTAGTTGATTTTGATGAAGCGAGACCTGGGTTTCAAGAAATTGAGGTTCTCCAAATTCAGATTCTGAAATACAGATTTGAAACACAGATCTCATGAAAGCTCCACATGCCTAGAAGTGTGAACCTCAGTTTCTTAGATGAAGACTGAAAGCCCCACACTGCTCCAATTTCTTCAAAGAAGTTGCATCGATCTTTCAAAGTTTCAGTGGATACGTGTAGTCTGTCTCAGTCTTAGGTGTGGAGAGAGAGAGGTCTGAAAAAGAAGAAAGAATCAAAGAAAGAATGAAAGAAAATGACATATTTTGAAAATTGAATGAATGATTAAGGGCATTTTTTATTTTTTTAAATTTTATCTATTAAACTTAACCTTTGAAATATCTCAAATATATAAGGTAAATATAATTAATTTCTCAAATATATAAGTAATTAATCCTTTTTTTTTGTTTCTCGAAAATAATTACACTCTTCTACATCCAGTCCGGCTCTCGTCCCTCAAAGCTCTATCTGCCTCCCACCACTCTCCTAGTTGCCCGTTTCTCTCCAAAGTAATCCAAGAAACCGTTCATATTGCTGCTATGCATCATTAGCCAATGTTATCAACCATTTCCAAATAATACTATACAAAGAAATTGTTAAAGCTCAGTTTGAAGGAGTACAAATGCAAATATGTAAAGGGTAAATCTTTGTATTTTGTATTATTTTGTATATATTTATATTGTACATATTTGTATTTGTATTCCTCCCAAACTGAGCCTAAGGCTGTGTTTAGTTGCAGTGTACAAATGCATGGGGATGCAAATGTAAAAAATACAATTTCTTGTTTAATTTTGTTTTGGATTTTATTTTATTCAGCTTTATGTCTTAATTTACTTCATTTGTATGCAATCAAATAAAATAAGCTAAAATTTGAAACAAAAACAGGTCAGAATTTACATTCAAATCATTTGCACTGCCATGGTTTTGCATCAGCGAAAATTTATTTGCATTGCAACCAAACACAGCCTAAGTAAATATTTATTTTTTTACAATATAATGAGTATTGGATCAATTGGTTTACTGGGCTTCGGTGCCGTAGCTCTTTGTATGGCGTAAAATTTGAATGTCTTATTTGAAACTGATGGATATTCTCCCCTTTCACCACGTGGCAAGACTAATATTGAAATTTGAAGGTTTTTTTTTTTGAGTTCGACTATGATAAGGAAAAGATATGATATCTGAAAAGCATTTGACCAATCAATTGAAATTATAAAGGTGATAGCGAATTAGGTGTTATTTATCAAAATTCATGGGTGGGCTTTGATTGGCCAAAACTCTTTCATACAATATCTTTTCTCATCATAGATTTTCCCTTTTTTTTAAACATTTATAGTTTAGAAACCAAGTGGAGCTTCCCCCTTGTTTTTGGTCTTCCATGATTGTACTAGATTTCCACTTTATGACTCATATCAGAATTTTCTTCCCTCCTTCAATTCTAAATCCAAAACCCCTCTCTCTCTCTCTCTCTCTCTCTCTCTCTCTCTCTCAAATTGTATCTTCACTCCATATTAGTTGAATTCGTCATGCAGCATCCTTCAAAAAGTGGAGGCACGATCAAATCTATGTAATTATAAACTCTCTATGGTAAAGTCAGTGGATAGGGGTGAGCTTGAGTCAGTTCAGTTGTGGAATTGAAACTTATCCTCTCAAGATCGGTTCCGGGGTTGATGCTGACCTTAGTAGTTTCAGATTGGTTTTAGGGTCTACCTATGAAACCTATTCTTTCTTTACCCCACCCACCCAAAAAAAAATGAAACATGTTCTTTAAACTTGATTTTCAATAATAATAATAATAATAATAAGAAGAAGAAGAAGAAGAAGAAGAAGAAGAATACACATACATACATACATACATACATACATACATACATACATACATACATACATACATACATACATACATACATCCTTCAAAACTTATCATTACAATTCAAATTTTGTAAATATTACCTTTTACATTTTTTATTATATACATTCAAATATTAAATAAAAGAAAAATGAACAAACCACTTAAGTGCCTCAATAGTCAAGTAAGACCATAGTCTTTGTGACCACAAATGCTTAGCTTCAATTCCCCCATTTCCAAGTGTTTTAGAATTTATTTCATGACAAGTTTGATTCTAAGGCTGATTCTCGGGGTCAGTTCAGGTAGGATAAGCTTAGAACCAGACCTTATCCGATAACAGATTGAATAAAATTGGCTCAAGATCAGTTCCATTCAATTCTTGGTAGAACGTACTCATTTGCTCACCCCTAAGCGGACCTACATGCACCTTGCTCAGTAATTGTGCGTCTAACTCACTAATAGATGACTACAAGTGCAAGCCCTCTCGACATCCAAATTGACATGTATCACATTGTATCGTCAAAGCATACTGTGAGCCGCTTCATAATGGATTGTGCTTTGTGGGTTACCCCTAAGAGAATAGGAGATTGGCTCACCAAAGCAAAAGGGTAGCATGAATATAATGTCTGGGATTGTTAGTTATTAAAGAACCGTTCATTTAAAGAATTGAAGTCACCATAATGATCATAAACATCCATTTTACTATGTTTTATCAGGAAAAGATTGTCTTTAAAAATTAAATCCTCAAACGAAATCTTAGAAATTAAACAATTAGGATTTGTTTGGTTCACAGTCGGAATTAAAATATGTTCACAATAGGAATCAAAAATCCCTTAGAATTGGAATTAGAATGATTTATTTGCAGAATCTGTTTGGTTTGAACAGAAATCAGAATGGAAATTAGAATGAATTGAAATGAGATTTCATTTTCAAAGGAGGGGGAAGAAATGGCCATTCTCTCAAATGGGAGAATGTTATTCCACTAAAAATTAGTGTAAACTTCCAAATCCACCCAACCAAACAGTTGGAATCAGAATAGCCCATTCCAATTCCATACCCCTTTTCCTGCAAAACAAACGTGCCCTTAAAGTTTGAGCATAAAAGCAGGCAATACTCCGACCCATCCACTGCTAATGTCTACCTCAAAGCTTCTGGGTACTCAGAGCTAAGACAGTAGGACGTCCCCTCGATTATTTTGCTTCTCCATGTAATGAGTAAGAGTAACATATTAAGGGAGAGAATTCGAAATTTACACCGAGGCCTACTGTTTTGACTCTGTTGATAAGAAAAGACTGTAGTGCCAGTTAATAAACTTGCCCATCCAAAGGATTTCAAATCATAATTTTAGGGTCCATTTGGTTTGGAATTGGAATCAGAATTGGAATTAAAATCAACAAAATTGTCTATTCCCATACTCTATTTGGTTCAGACAGGAATTGAAATAGAAATTGGATTCAATTAAAAAAAGATTTCATTCCAAGGCGGGAGAGGGAATGTCATTCCCTCAAATGGGGGAATGACATTCCCTTACGAATGGGAATGGGATTCTGGTTCCACCCAACCAAACAGCCCATTCCAGACCTCTATTCATGCGAACTAAAAAAACCTTAGGCTCAGTTTGGAAGGAGTACAAATACAAATATATATAAGATAATACAAAATATAAGGTTTTGTTCTCTACATATTTGTATTTGTACTCCTTCCAAAATAGAGCCTTAGGTTTTTTTCATAAGCCCAACCATGGCACCCTATCAATTACCACTCTACCAGGTTTGGCAAATGCCTAGTGCAGAAAGATGTGAAAGATCCATCGGACAGTTCTGTCTGGTTACCAGGTAAAAGTATAGTGTTCAAAATACAAATTGAACATGATCTCGACATCAGAGTTTCAACAATGTACAAAATGAACAATGACTTCTGGGACAACACTAACAAAGAAAACAGATGGTTTTATTTCTCCAAATTGAAAAAAAAAAATAGAAGAAAAAAAAATAAAGATACACACCCAATGTCAAATGATTTTTCAAGGATTAAGCATTTTCACGATTATACAACCTAGCTGAATTACTGAACTTGAGAAAACACAAAACATCATTCGATATTCCTGCAAATCACCATCAATTCCCAGTACCATCATGTTGAACTGTTCAGAAAATGAGCCAATGCCTTGTCTGTATCATTATCATACATTGCTAATGCTTCAGCAACGCTGTTAGGCGAGAACCCCATTTCTCTGAGGAGGTTGTACCCCTTTACAAATTCCCTGACCTGAAAATGAAGGCATCCTCTAAGCTATAAGAAAACCTTTTGCCTAGTATTTTAGTTCATGTAGGCATGGAAGTTGAAATGTAGGATGAAACATGATAAACATCTGGTGGGTACCAAATGCACGCAATATAATCACTGGAACCTTTAGGGAATAAACAGTGTCAAGTGGTGCTTTTGATGCTTCAATGTAAAATGTACAGATAACTAATAAGAGACAGGTTACATTTTATGTTATGATACAGAAGTACAATTGGTGTGCATGGAAAAAGAAACCAAGCAGGCATTTGAGAGAAGTAGAAAGAAATAGCAAGGATAAATGAAAGCAGGTAGACAGATAGAAGGGAATAATGAAATAATTACTTATGTATCCCAATCATGATATAGTAAACTTGTAACATTTAGAGTACAGATTCTGTACAGTCTTGCCATACTGTTGATATGTGGTTTGAAATTCAAGTCATGTACCATATTTCTTTAGGAAAGGTTTCCTATCAGGAAACCAACTCTAATTCTCCCACTATAACCTTTTGGTGTTTCTTTGATTTTAAGAAATAAAAAAGAAACAATATATTACAGTTTTCTGTGAAATTTCTTCTGAGGATATATACTGGGTTTCGAGGATATAAATATGTGGTATTGGTTGCTTTTCGGGGTAGACCAACTGAGGCAAGAGACTGCAAAACCCTTTGGAGCATTCCCTGGTTATGGATTTTGGGGTTTAACACAGTTCCATACCCCAGGTCTCAGGCATAGTTATAAAAACAGGATCAACTCAGTCAACCCAGAAAACCAGGAACCATCTAAAAGCCTGGATTGGTTCTATTATAGGACAGATCAATGTGCACAAAAACTGGAAAACCCAGACAGACAAACAGATTTATGTGAGACCCAGCAAGTTTTATTGATCTGGATAAGTTGTAAACATAAATATTTAAAGAAGAGGTTCTTGATTTCAAATAAAAAAACTAGAACATAGAGAAAAATCAAGAGTTTTGGATGGGGTGAGAATCTGTCAAGGGAGAGGCAGATTTTAGACGGTTGAAGAGGATATGAATGAGAGAATGAGAGACAAAGAGAGGAAGACATGCATTGCAGCCATGATACCATGGAGAGTGATGCAAGGAGGGGGAAATACAGAAGAGGGAAACCATCCCCCTCCTCTTTTTTCCTTTTTCTTTCTTTCTAATGTAAGAAATTATTGCTACAACTACAAGGCAATGGAAGAGATGTAAGATTGCAAATTGCATGCATGCAACCATGAAGTTATGTGTAGAAAGGGAGAGGAGGTTTGAGAGAATTTGTAAACTCACTTCGAAGAGAACCTTCACATTCTTGCACTCTAATATCTTTCTCAGTTACCATCTCCCTATTGGATGTTTTTTATTTTTATTTTTTATTTCTATTGAAGGGCTACACAGTGGGGGTTAGCCCATCCCCCAACCCATAAGCCCCCCAATCCAGGTGCAGGCGGGATTTGATCCCAATCCAGGAGACCTTACCAACCCGCTGGTTGGCACCTTGCCATCTCCCTATTGGATGTTAGGAGATTCAAAGAGGATTCTTTTTAAACAATGTCAGTTTTTAAGATGAATAGCTTGGAATAAATTATACAACATTAGGTGCACATATACACGTTATATGGCATTCATGTTTAGGTTATATGATTGATCCAAATTGATCTACATCAACCACCTGATTGAATCAGAAACCCAGATCCCAGAAACAAGCTCATTTAAGGGCTTATACCTGGTCTCTCTTTAAAAACCATGGTTTCATGTACAGAAACCTATTGTACAGGGGCTTTTGCCTTTTGAGTTCAATATAATAATATTACCTATTCAAAGAACAATGATAATAACTATGTTTTTATGCTCTTAGCTTTTTGGTGTATGAATCCTTTCGTGACATGGGAAATTATCAATTGGTGCCAGAACAGTGCCTCTTGTTCCTCAAAAAAGAACAGTGTCTATTGGGAAAAACATCAAGGGAAAGTGCTATTGGGAGGGGAGGTTTTCTATGGCTTGTTGTATTTTGGTTTATATTACAATATGTTTTTATATTAATTGATCTAACTAACTTCACTCATGGTTGTAGGCACCCTACTGAATCACATTAATCCTTCTTTTTTGTTTGTGTTTTAGTTTTCTTTAATTTATTTTTCCCTTTTTTGGTAACAACAATCCCTATAATTGCACTTGAACTGAATATATAATATACCATCCATGTCTCCTAGCAACAACAACAACAGAGAAAACTTTTATGTTCTTGGTTCTCCTAAAATCTATTTATTTTACTTATCAGTATCTATTTAATTTACTTTGACCTCCAAAAGAATGCAATTACTTCAAAAGAAGGTTTTCCATGATAGGCCCCACCAATATATCCCAAATTCCCAACCAAAAACTAAATAAATATCAGAGTGATCAAATAACTGAAGTCATTCAATCACCAAAGTCTTTTTGAAGATTAAGAACCATGAATTGGAGCAAGAAATACCCATTACTCAGAAACCTCTAAGGTAAAGATCCATCAGATGCATGGTTCAGAGCATCCTTCATCTAAGCCATAATATGATATAGGCACCACTAGGTTTTAAATACAAATGCAATCATGTAATAACACCCTATCTTGTTGGTAACTCAACATAAATGCATACCTTTGTTGGATTATCTCCAAAGGTTGCTACTGCAAGGGACACAGCTTCCCGGCTGAGTCCTGAAGCAGTGTATTTGCTCACTACTGGATCTGTGGCAGAACCCTACACAAAACATAATATTGTCAGTTTCCAGCTTGACAATGAAATTTTCAATTTTCACAAATTATTCCTGCGTAAAGACAAAAATAACTTGTTTTTATTAAAAAGAAAACAATCTCAAAAACAGGAAGTTCATTGAGTAAGGCAAACATTTGATTGATTTGAAGTACAAGGGTCACACGAAATCTAATTCAACAACCCTTGACAGAAAACACTCTTTATGTGCACTGATTCTCTAACTCTTATCCCGGTGAAAAACTGTTGAATTATGGGTCACTTCTGCTTCTGAATTGATGCCTCCTTAGGGCTTCCAGGTTGAACTTTCATCCAAAAGAAGTAAACAAAATAGGCACATTTCTGGTTTTTAATGGTGAAAATCATTAAAATGTCAACAAAGGAGTAACTATACCGAAGAAGGATTTGATTCTGCAGTTCTAGATGAAAGGTTTTCCAACCCAAGTCTGCTCCAATTTTGGTTCTCCTTCTCTGCTTCAGCTAGAATTTTCTTCTCAAGTTCAAAATCAAACTGAAATGTGCTTCGGGGAATATCTCCCATTTGCGGGGACAGCTGAGGCTGCAAATTTAGCATGTTAGCATGCAGAAAACCACATTGAGTACTCGAAAACAAATAAGAATCATAAACATTTATGCATGAAACTATTTAGGGTTATAATAAATGTGAAATTATAAGGTAAAGAAATGCAAAACCTATAATTTGAATCCAACTTCCTTTTGGAATTGCTATTGTCAACCTCAATATATACATCATTAGTTCATTCTTCCCTCATATCATAGTAGCATACAATGAGAAAGTCCAAAAGACAATTGAATTCTTCAGTTGAACATGTGAATACGTTGCACTGAATTTAATTATATATGATGAGTTTATTGTTAAGCAATTGCAATAAGACTGATATAAATTTAAGATGTAAATGTAACATGGGTACTAGAAGAGACTTACTGGTGCAGTTATTCGGTACTCGGGTTTTATTGCAACCCTCATGCCCAATCCTGCTGTAAACCAAAGAAAAAAAAATGAACTTGTTATACATCCTCAAATCAAAAGCCGAACACCTAGAAAATAAAATACGTTTAAGTACAAGAACAAACGATGGATTCTAGTGACAGTTCATGATGAAGTCGAGATATACGGGGGGATTATAAGGTTTGTAGTTGCATATGCACACACATAGAAAGCATATGAAGAACCTATCATTAATATAAAAAGCATATGAAGAACCCTAAACTATCATTAATATAAAAATCATCCAACACAGGCAAGATAGGAAGAACCTAACAACAACAAAAGAAAGAAGGTATCTGCAATCAGATTAAATTTTGAATTCAATTTCTTGTCTAGCGCTGCCGAATGACATCATTATGGAAAACCAAGAAATTTATATTACAAAAATGGAAACGGAGAGGGTACAAGCTTACAGGATGGGGAAGTCGTCTGATGATAGGAAGTCGTCCGGCCAGCCGGAGGGATAACGGCATGACTGGGCTGACCAACTCTGGGGTAGAGGGATGGTCCATGGTGCGGATGGCTTGATGGTGACGGTGACGAACTGGTGTTTGACCGGTACATAGGGATATGCGAATCGTATGGAGGTCCGGCTCTGTTCCTGAAATCATAATCCATCGAATTTGAGAGAGGGAGAGACGCAGAGGAGATCGGGAGGTGAGAGAGAACAGCGATCAGGGAAATCGACGAGACGCGGGAGAGAGCAATGGTCTTCTCAGTAGTCAAGTCAGCACTCAGTGGGAGAAAATTAAAGAACATATGATAAGACTAATAATTAAAGGAAAAATCCTTGAACCTCCCTGACAATATTAACATGGAAAAAAGTTTTAAAATCTCTGATAGTAGTTAGTTATTAATGTTAATAAAGTAGTGAAAATGTCAAAAATACCCTTACAAGATTGGGGTTAAAATTAGTGTAATATCAAAAATACCCTTACAAAATTTGAGGGTTTTTTTGAAATGGGTCATAGGGATATGTCAATGGGTCGGATTCAGCACAGGTTTGCCTCAACCTAACTCGACTCTCCACCATCTCAACCCGATCCAATCCAACTTAAAAATACATAATTTTCAAACCCAATCCAATCCTATATTGACCCAATCTATCAGGTAGCATTTTAATTATATTTTTTTAATATATTTTGAGACCTAAAATCCATTAATTTAAGTTAAGAAATTATTTTATAAATTCTAAGGTATCACTTTTTCCATTTAGAAAAAAAAAAAAGAAAATCAAAATCAACATATAAATAGATAGATTTAGAAGTCAAGAAGTTATAAGAATACTTTGTATATATGAAGGGTATCATGATCTGACGGAGTAGGTCAACCAAAACCCGAACTTGACCTAAACCTAACTAGGGTTGAAAAATCAAAACCCTAACCCAACACTAAAACCAAATATATTGACTCTAATCCAAACCCTATATAGTTGGGTCAAGTCGGGTTTACCATTTAACCCAATCCATTGACATTCCTATACTTAAAGTGGTAAACGAGGTAATCCATCCCCTGTACCCTTAACCCCCAATGGAGATCCCACCAATTGAGTCAGCATGGTTAGTGTTATTGAGTTAAAGAATCAAAACTCTAACCCAACCCTAAAGCCAAATATATTGACCCTAATCCAATCCTATATGGTTGGGTCAAGTCGGGTTTACCATTTAACCCAATCCATTGACATCACTATTTAAAGTGGTAAAGGAGGTAATCCATCCCCTGTACCCTAAACCCCCAACGGAGATCCCACCAATTGAGTCAGCATGGTTGGTGATGTAGCGCGATCTGGTCACTCCTAGCTGGTAGGGGCCTCGCTCCTATCTGGCAACGGACAACACCTGAGAAGGAGAAGAAGATAAAGGATTCCCGGGGAGCTTGCCCGGTGGGAACACTCCGATGCTTAAGTTATAACTCGGTGGGAAGCTAGAGAGTAGTAAAGGAAAATGAGCTAAGAGTGGAGATGCGCACTTCGTAAAAATTACCCTTGCCCCTTGGAAATCGGGGCCTTTATATACTGAGGCTCTGTCAAATCGGGTGTAACCGCCTCTGATTCTCTGCTACAGCCGTTATTCACCAGGTTGATTCGATTGGTGCAGGTAACCGTCGCAGAGTACGGTCCTGTCAGTTGAGAGACGTTATGCAGAGCTGGCGTGCATGATGCCGCCTGACATGAAATGTGGGCGCAGCCCTCTGGACTGGCAGGTGCTGCGCCGCCGGACAAGAGACGTGGGGGCAGTTTGACAGGCACGGTCTTGTTGGATAAGAAGCTTCCCAAAGACTCCGGGTTACTCAATAGCGAGCTCCTTTGTAGCGAGCTCCCTTGTAGCGAGCTCCTTCGTAGCGAGCTCCCTTGTAGCGAGCTCCTTCGTAGCGAGCTCCCTTGTAGCGAAATCCAATAGCGAGCTGCTTTGCAGCAAGCCGTTCTGTAGCGAGCTGTCTTGTGGCGAGCTATTCTGTTGGGGTTTCAGTGAGCTCATTACGCCGAGTTGTGGCCAAGATGTCATGCTGAGTTGTCACTTACGTCGAGTCATATCCACGTATCACCTGGTTAGGAGGTCGGGTTAAATCACCCTCCATCAATTGCCCCCCACTCCTTGGGCTAAGAGTTTTGCTCTAGCGCGAGGAGTTCATGAAGTGACGGGCGGGTTTGACCCGTAATTCAAATTACTTTGACCGACCACGTGTGGTTTTCAGGTTTTTTGGGCACCAAACTGCCTTTAGTTTGGGAAGACGTGTGGTCGTATTTACTGTGAGCCGTTGGATTTGCTTTAATCGAGATCGTTAGTTTTCGGGCACAGTGGCTTAAAATAGAAGGGCCCCCAGGCCTCATTTTTTTACGCCAACTTGCCTTGCTTTCGGTTTTGAGGTTGCGCCTTCGCCTTGTTTGCTCGAGCTCTCCCCGTTATCGTCGCTTTCTCAGTTCACTTTTCTGGTGAGTCTTCTACTCTGTCCAAACAATGTCTGGGTACCCGTGGAACAGTAACCAAAACGAGGTCCCCTCGAGCTCGGGGGGAGCTTGGGGTTTCCCCGAAGGGTGGTCTTTGGAGGCTTGGGAAGCCTTCGGTAACTCGGCTTCTACTTCCCGGGATAGCTTTGGCCCTTCCTCCATGTCAATGGAGAGACTTCGGGCCTTAGTTCTTCATTACAACCTCCCCAGGCCCGGGGTGAGGTCCACCAGGCTCAGAAGGGGAGTGAGACCCAGGAGCTGCTCGTTAGGGACCAAGAAGCGCGGATCTCCCGATTGTCTGAGGAGAGTGCCCGTTACAAGGAGTCTTCGAGGGTGACGGCGGAGAGGGAGCTCCTTCGCCAGCAGGTCCAAAGCTTGGAGTCCATGCTCCACGAGCGGACCCGAAACTTCGACACCGCGGTGGAGGACTTTAAAGAGTCCTAGCAGTTCCACAACCTCCAGGTTGAGTACGACTCTACCGCTCGGGGTTCAAGCTTTGCCGATAGCTGGTCCGGAAGAAGTTCTCCAGCCTTAACCTGGAGGGCGTGACAATGAAGGACCTGGCCCCAAAGACAGCGGGCGTTGTGGAGGAGGAGGAGCCCGACTCCCTAGAGGAGAGCGATGAGGACGTGGAGGTGGTGGGACCTTGAGGTTGGTTGTCTTTTTCTTCTGAATGAATGAATCTTTGAAGTGGTTGTTCCCGGACGAATGAGCCCGGTTCTCTTTTTTCTTCTTGTCTTGATGTATTGTCCCGAGCTATTAGGCTCGGTTTTTTTATAAGAACTAGTAATGAAATGTTCCTTTCTTTTTTTGCTAAGTGTTGTGCGATTTACTCTTTTGTCGAAGTGACTATTCCACTCGAACTGTTAAAGCTGAGTACCCGAAGTGGGGTTTCTCGACTGTCGTCACCCCGAGCTGTCTCCCCGTACTTAGTAGGGGTGATTTTATGATGTACACCGAGGTAAGCAACATAGTGAGCATATGCCCGACTTGTCTACACCTGGGTTACGGAAGTTGAAGTCGGTTGTCCCTAACGGGTCCAACTTGTATACCGGGGCTGGCTATGCATCATAGGATTCACACCCGAGCCTGCGCCTTTGGTATTAATACTTAGCCTATGCCAATGAAGCGGTTAGGTCTTATACGGTGTCGAGGTCTTCGTTAGCTCGGCGTTTTAGCGCTTAGGCTGGGGGAGTGACTTATAGTCCACTCTCCTAGAGTTTGCCCATGCCGAAGAGGTGACTGGGTCTTATAGTGCCGAGGTCTTTTGTTAGCTCGGCGTATTGGCCCTTAGGCTCTGGGAGCGACTACGGTCCACCCCCTTCTGGAGTTCACCCATGCCAAAGAGGCGACTGGGTCTTATAGTGCCAAGGTCTTTTGTTAGCTCGACGTATTGGTCCTTAGGCTCAGAGAGCGACTTGTGGTCCACTCAGCTCGGTGATTATAGGTAATACTACCTTAAGTTGACAATATTCCATGCCCGAGGTACTTGTTTCCCTTCTAGGATTTCGAGCTCATATGTTCCTTCCCCGAGCACCCGCTTTACTGGGTAGGGTCCTTCCCAATTTGGCCCGAGCTTACCAACACCAGGCTCAAGCACCATAACTTTACGAAGAACCAGGTCTCCGACGCGGAGGTTCCACTTCTTGACCCTGGCGTTATAGTACTGAGCTACTATCTGCTGGTAGGCTGCGGTCCTGATGTATGCGAGGTCCCGTACCTCGTCAAGTAGTTCGAGGTTGGTGTATAGCTCATTTTCATTTGTTTGGTCATCATACACATCTAGACGTAGCGTGGGAACCTCGATCTCGGCTGGGATGACTGCCTCTGTGCCATAAGTGAGGTTGAAGGCGGTCTCGCCTGTTGCAGTCTTCACCGTGGTCCGATAAGCCCATAGTACACTGGGTAGCTCGTCTACCCAGAGTCCTTTAGCTCATTCGAGGCGTGCCTTCAGACCGCGGAGAATGGCTCTGTTCGTGACCTTCGCTTGACCATTTGCTTGAGGGTGCGCCACCGAGGTGAAATTTTGTTGAATTCCCATATCTTTGCACCAGTTCTGGAATTTAATATCCTCGAACTGCTTACCATTGTCAGAGATCAGTACTCGGGGTAGTCCGAAGCAGCACACTATATTTTTCTAGAAGAAGTTTTGCACATTCCGCGTCGTGATCGTTGTGAGAGGTTCAACTTCTACCCACTTAGTAAAATAATCAACTGTCACCACTAAGAACCTTCTCTGCCTTATCTCTGGCGAAAATGGTCCGCGTATATCGATCCCCCACTGTGCGAAAGACCACGGGCTGTGGAGATACTTCAGGTCGGCGACAGGCTGGTGGTGGATGTTGGCGTGCTTCTGGCACTTGTCACATCTTTTGACGAGCTCGATCGCATCTGCCTTCATCGTTGGCTAGCAATATCCCTATCGTAGTGCTTTCTGGGCGAGAGCCCTACCCCCCATGTGTCCACCGCACAAGCCCTCATGAGTGTCGCGGAGCACGAGCTCGGCTTTAGAAGGTCGCAAGCAGCGCAGATAGGGAAGCGTGTAAAATCTTCGGTACAGTCGTTCGTCTATCATGACATATTTGGTCGCCTAACGCTCTACCCTTCTGGAAAAATTGTGATCTGCAGGGAAGGTCCCATGTAGCAGGAAGCTCGCGAGCGGATCGATCCATCTCGGCTCTACTTGAACGACAGGAGCGACCTCCTCTGCCCCCCGAGAATGCTAGGCCAAGGCAAGTTCTCTATATACACGGTTCTCATGGTATTATCACTGGTGCTGGCTAACCGGGACAGGGCATCGGCCTCAGCGTTCTCAGACCTCGGGATTTGCTTGATGAAGTAGGACTACAAGTTGAGCAGAGCCTTTCTTACTTTGGC